CATTAAATAAATAACACAGATATATAACTTACTTCATGAAATTTAAATTAAAAGTTATTATTAAACTGAATTAATATACAGTAAAAGCGTTTTTAAAAGTTCATGAGTAATAAACTTTATCTAGGTATAGCCGGTAATCTATCTGAGGTATGATCAACATTTTTTCTGAAGTATTTTAACAACTAATCAAAATGAACTTCTGCTATGCTCTCTACATAAGGGGTAATATAAATAAACATTTTAGGTAGCTATCTTACAAAATTTTTTCCACTCTTTGTAATAACGACCAATCGAATTTTAGGAACAGGTGTAATGTGATTGTTAAAACAAACATGTTTTGTTTTTTTTCTAAGTAAAAAGTTAAGCGCAAAATTAAAGTTAAGAAAACTGCATTAAAGTTAGAGTTAGAACTAGGATAATGTAATGCTTATATGTAAAATTTTACAAAAAATATTTTTCATTAAACCACAGAAGGCAGTTTTCTAATTAAAATTTAGAGTTATTCTTGTTTTTTTGCTTCATCTTGATTTTCACATTACACCTGATCCTAAAATTTGATTGGTCATTATTACAAGGGGTGAAAAAAATTTTGTGTATCAGCTAGGAACTTTTAAATAAATACAGGATCCTGTAATTGGGGTTCTAAATTTAAATTTAAAAATTATAAATAAACAGAATCCTATGTAATCAAGATCCTGTTTATTTATATAAAATAAGGTTTAGCACAATTATATAATGATTAATTAGAGATATTACCTGGGTCAGAAATATTGACTCAGGTTAATAAAATTCAAGTCGGATATTGACTCGAGTCATAACCCGGGTCAAACAAGCAGCCAATTAAATTAATACACATGTTAATCTACTACTAACTCATATATAGAAATACATTTAACAAAACTAGAAAAGCTTTATTTATAATGATAAGTATTGTTATAAATTTTTGTACGAACAAGATCACATGCTTGAATTTAATTCGTCATGTTAAATTGATAACCTTCTGTTGGACGTTATTTTATTTTTAGAGCATTAGAGTTGATTTTTTCAAATCTAAAAATCTCAATATTTTATTAAGACAAAATATGATAAAAATTGTGCATATAGATAAGAACCGATACTTTAGTTTGAATTAAAATTTAGAAAATACCAGACGGTGGTTTTTCTAGTCCATTCACCATTTGTGCTAATTAACCTGTTAGTATCACAATCATGCCTAAGTAATCATAACCTAAGGTGATAATCGTGCCACTAATATTCGATCGATGCATGTAATCTCGATCGATCCAAATTGGGCGAAATATGCATCATCGCAATCAAAACTCAAACAATTTAACAATCAGCATATACGATCAAATCGGGAAGGAAATATACTCACGATGCCCATGTTTCAAAATGGCGGAATTGAAACGAAAATTTGACGGTTTGTGTTGAAAAAAAGGAGGAAAAGTATCGTTAGTTATGCAGCAGTATCTAAAAATAGATAAATGGAGGAGAAACCTACATGATAATAGTCCTGAAACAATCGGTGGTGGGGAAAAAAGGGTGGAAGAAAAACTGGTAGTAACCTAAAATAGAGTAATTAGTCAGTAAGTGAAAAATATAAAAAAAAACAACCAAATATAATAAAGAAAAACTTATCTTCCATAGCCCCAACAAGAAATAAAAAGATTCAATCACCTCGTTACAAAAGTAGTAGTAGCGGTAGTTGTAGTGAGTAATAGTAGTTGTAGTATATAGTTGTTTTAGTTAAGTTACTAAATAAAAACCTCAACAAAAAAAAAAATAAAGTATCAATTATACTTGCCCAAATCATATCAACGCTTTTTTTGCTCAACACATCTTTGCTGATTTAATTTTTTACCATAATAATTAGGTGCCACATTACGAAGGGTGTGTAATAATGGAGCTGCTCTATTCTTTTTCATGAACAATATTTAAATGATGATAAAATAAATATATAATTTTCAAATAATTATAAAGTTTAATCACATACTTTATTTTATCCCTTTGTCACTAGAAATAGACTTTTTATAATCTATTGAATAACGGTAAAGTTTTGTGAAATAAATCTGTGACAAGGTTTTTGTGTGTAAGGAAGCTCCACCCAAACGATTCGGGTCTCACAAGTTCTACGATTTTTTTTTTGTCCTCTGGTAAGATTTTATAATTTTTTATCAAATGTTATGGCATAATAGCAATATAATTGTTGATTTTTAATAGTTTCTTGTGGTTTTCTATACAAATTAAGCATCAAACACAAGAAGATAGAAACTTTAGCAAGTTTTTCTGAACCTCTTGTTTGGAATTCACTTCAGAATTTTTTATGATAAAACGGTGGTAAATTTTTAAATTTTTATTTTATTTGTGTGCTTTATGATTTTTGTTCTAAGAATATTTATTCTCACTGTTTTTATTATCTTTAGAAAGTTAACCTGCTTATATTCAATAAAAACGGATTTACATTATTTAAAGAATCTGTTCATTAAAAGAAAAAAAAAACATTAATATAAAAATAATATTTAGAAGGAACATATCAATGAACAGCGAAGAGTATTATGATAATATAGAGTTAGAAAATGTTGATACCGACTTGGAGATGGTGGAATCAGAGCATATAGATACTGACTTGGACATAGCGGAATCTAATAGTTTTATTGTTGATACAGATAATTCAAATTGTAGTGAAATTTCACAGTTAGCCACAATATCTCAACATAAAAAAAGGATTAGAAAATTAGGTGGTAGTAGTTCCGTTAGACCCTTTTATGAAGTAACATTAGTTAATGATATTGATTATTGGATTTGTCATCACAAAAGTTGTGCTCCACGAGTAAAATATAAAAAGGATGGTACTACATCAAATTTATGGCGACATTTGAGAAATAAGCATCACATTTTAAGGAACATGATGGAAAATAACCGTGTAAGGATTGAACAAAAAGGTGGAAAATATTGTGAATTTTATATAACGGCGGAATCTTCACAAAAGACATTAGTGGAAGTACTTAGCAAAACAACAAAATATTCGTTTAATTATCTGAAGCAAAAAAAACTTAACAGCAATCTTGTTGCTTTTATTATCAAAGAACTCTAACTATTTTCGATCCTGCAATCACAAACTTTAATAAAAATTATTGAAGATCTTGATCCTCAAGCCAGCACTTTAAGCAATGATCAGTTAAAAGAAATTCTTATCAATGCTGAGAACAGAGTTTTACAAAACATGCATAAGCATGTACATGATAATAACGAGATTTGTTATGCCTCCTTTACCACTGATATGTGGACCTCAGATAACAACAACCCATACATTGGTCTTACGTTCTATTGGATAAATGAAGACTTTCAAATACGAGAAATAGTTGCAGAGATATCGTACCTTCTATATCCACATATAGCAGAGTGACTTGCAGACAAAATAGTTGAAATTTTAGACAAATTTCAGGTTAGAAGTAAAGTTGTTTGCAGTACAATAGATAATGGGGCAAACATTAAGTCATGTTTAGGAAAGTTGGAAGAAAGATATAACATATTCAAAAATTTTTGTTTTGGTCATACCCTCCACCTCGCAATTAATGATGCATTAAAAAAATCTCCTAAAATTATTGATCTTATAAAAAAATGTAAAGAAGTTGTGTCACATTTCAGCGGAAGTCCTAAACAAAAATAATTTTTGTTAACAGCGCAATTAATAATGGAGGATTGGGATAGGTTGCTTTCTGTAGTTCGTGATGTTTCAACACATTGGAACTCGACATTCTATTTATTAAAATGATTGGTTGTTCTTAAGCCGGCATTGTATAGATACAAATCTTTTTTGGTTGAAGATAATGAGAGTGGTTCATTAAAAAGCTATGAGGAAAAAGAATTATCATCTGAAGAGTGGGAAAAAGTAGTGGGGTTAGTTGAGCTATTACGTCCGTATGAGTTTATTTCAACACAATTATCCGGTTCACATTACCCAACACAAGCGTGGTTTGCAATTCATTACATTAAATTAAAAATTGATAATGTATTAACATCTAATATATCAATATTTGATATTGATGTTAAAAATTTTGGAAACTATCTTCTTGAGTCAATAAAAATATGGTTTTTAGAACCGACTAAATTAATTCGACTTGCTGCTTTCTTTGACCCCTGGACTAAAGATATGCAAATTTTCTCTGATGATGAAAAACGCCTCACTATTTTGGAAGCTCATATGAAATATAATGAACTAGATTCTAACAATTATGAGTTTAATGAAAGTAAAATGATGTCTAATAACCTTGATGAGGATATTTTCTCCGTTTTAACGACCACTTGCCCTCAACTAAGCCAGGAAGATAATGTCAATGAATTCGATTCATATTTACTATTACCCAAGTTATCTAGTAAAACAAATATACTTCAATGGTGGGCATCAAGAAAATCTGAATATCCAGTGCTCGCAAAACTTGCTCGCAAATATTTGTCAATTCTAGCAACATCTGTACCATCTGAACGCCTTTTTTCATCCGCGGGTCTTACTATTACTGAAAAGCGAACAAATCTTAACCATCAATTTGTTGGAACTATTATGTATCTTAAAGCAGCCCTGAAACTTTGTCCATTTTTACATATTTTTAATTAAATAAGTTTTATTAAATAAGATTTATTAAATAAGATTTTATTAAATAAGGTTGTATTAAATAAGGTTTTATTAAATAAGGTTTTATTAAATAAGTTTTTATTAAATAAGGTTTTATTAAATAAGTTTTTATTAAATAAAGTTTCTATTAAATAAGTTTTTATTAAATAAGTTTTTATTAAATATTTATTTAATATAATTTGAATACAGCAATAATAATAAAGAAAAAAAGATATTATATTTCTGTAACTTGACCAAAACATTGTTTGAAAATACTGCATATGTTAAATAAAATATCTCCCACCTCATCTCTTATTTTTGTAATTTTAACTAAATAAATAATTTATAAAAGAATTGTTATATATTCATTATCCCATATACATAACTTTTTTTATATACTTATTTCTATTGGACATATACTGTATCTAGATGATTGAGTATATTAACCTATTTAATTACAAACGTTAAAAACAATGCGCAAAATAAAAGTTTCGCTTTAAAATAAGTACATAAAAGTTATGTTACGTAGATGGCAGGAGATAAATCAGTTATATCTAACTGCCCAGGATATAGCTATTACTGATACATTGTTTTAATAAAATATTAAGATTTTTAGATTTGAAAAAATCAATTTTTCGAAGACATAATGCTCTAAAAATAGAATAATGTCCAATCAGAAGGTTATCAATTTAACTTGGCAAATTAAATTCAAGCATGTGACCTTGTTCGTATAAAAAATTTATAACAATACCTATCCTTTAAATTGTAATATAGGCAAATTTGCCTGCGTTTATTTTTTTAAACTTTATTTTTTTAATAAAATCTTAAATATTAATTTTAGCAATATAC